AAACAACATGATGGAGTATGTTTTGGTGCCGAGAACGGCTGTCTAGATCGTTTGGTCACTTTACTATGGCACGTTAACTTTTCGAAATTTGGAACTACCATAACTTCATTTTTTTAAATGGCACCCCCCATATTTTATTACTTAGTCGTCTTTGAAAACCCTTTCAATACTCCATCATGTTGTTTAAGCATATTCTGAATCCTAAATTGATATCCCAAAAATCGAGTGTTCTCTGATTTTTTGAACAAATGTCTGCTGGAGCAGATTTTTCTAGAAAAATTCGAATAACTCGAGAACGGCCGAATCAAATTGCAAAAAGTAAACTTATTTATAAACCATGAAAACAGACAAATCCAAATATGTAAAAATATACAGGGTGTTCCATTTAAAAAAATAAAGTAGGTGGCGACTTCCGGTATAACCGGAAGTGCAAGAAATCTGAAAATATTTTAGTCGAAGAGATCGTAATTGATAATACTTAAGTCTGAATTCTCAAATTTTTATTTTCGCCAGAACCCCAGAAACGTCTAATGACCGGTCTCGCTGAGACACCCTATATATATAACTTATTTCTATATTCTATTTAGTATTGCTAACTTTATGGAAATACCAAGATAATTGTAACAACTCTTTGTAGTTTATCTTCAACTTAAAAATACGTCAAACTATATTCTGATATTTCTAATGATCTGATATCTGTCTACAAGAGACATCACAGTATCATAAAGAGATACAAGAATAGTTTTAACAATTCTTTTTGTAGCTCTTTTTGTAAAATCTCTCTTAGCATATCTAAGCTATTTTGAAATTGTTGCGAAATGTCTTCTTGTCTGTCTTCTTTAATCCAAACAATCAATTGATGATGGAGCATTCAAGAATTAATAAAAGCTTTTTCCCGATTCGTGGTAGTAGTAAAGATGATCTTCAGGCAGATCATGTAAGATGGATTCAAAGTTACCTTCATTTTTTGATGTATCAGAATTTTTTGAAACAATTTATGGGATGAATGAAATAAAAGCATTATTGATTATTACATTATCAAACAAAGAATAATTGCTCAGTTTTGTTATAAATCTTTACAGGAGCATTTTTAGTATCAAAGCATCCCTAACATCTTAGTGATACCAGGATAGTTCTAACATTTCTTTCTGTGGTTTATCTTAGACATAAAAGCAACCTCAAGACTGTAGAGGTGCATATACATCTCTGACATCTATATATACAACTTATTTCTATATTCTATTTAGTATTGCTAACTTTATGGAAATACCAAGATAGTTGTAACAACTCTTTGTAGTTTATCTTGAACCTAAAAATACCTCAAACTCTATTCTGATATTTCTGAAGATCTGATATCTGTCTACAAGAGACATCAAAGTATCATAAAGAGATACAAGAATAGTTTTAACAATTCTTTTTGTAAAATCCCTCTTTGCATATCTAAGCTATTTTTAGTTAACATAGAAATCTCTGGCATTCAACCACTTTCTGTGTTTGAATTAATATGGATTGTGTTGTTTTGATATGTGATTTTCTGATCAATTTCGACTTCTATCTAATGGTTGCAGTTTAAGGGTGTCACGAAATAAGATCAACAAGTTGTGCAGAAGTTGTTATAATTGCCTTGAAATTGTTGCGAAATGTCTTCTTGTCTCTCTTCTTTAATCCAAACAATTAATTGATGATGAAGCATTCAAGAATTAATAAAAGCTTTTTCCAGATTCTTGGTAGTAGTAAACTTGATCTTTAGGTAGATCATGTAAGATGGATTCTTCGAGTATATTCAAAGTTTTTGATTTGATGTATCAGAATTTTTTGAAACAATTTATGGGATTAATGAAATAAAAGTATTATTGATTATTACATTATCAAACAAAGAATAATTGCTCAGTTTTGTTATAAATCTTTACAGGAGCATCTTAGTGATACCAGGATAGTTCTAACATTTCTTTCTGTGGTTTATCTTAGACATAAAAGCAACATCAAGACTATAGAGGTGCATATACATCTCTGACATCTATATATATATAACTTATTTCTATATTCTATTTAGTATTGCTAACTTTATGGAAATACCAAGATAGTTGTAACAACTCTTTGTAGTTTATCTTGAACCTAAAAATACCTCAAACTCTATTCTGATATTTCGGAAGATCTGATATCTGTCTACAAGAGACATCAAAGTATCATAAAGAGATACAAGAATAGTTTTAATAATTCTTTTTGTAAAATCTCTCTTTGCATATCTAAGCTATTTTGAAATTGTTGCGAAATGTCTTCTTGTCTGTCTTCTTTAATCCAAACAATCAATTGATGATGAAGCATTCAAGAATTAATAAAAGTTTTTCCAGATTCGTGGTAGTAGTAAAGATGATCTTCAGGCAGATGGATTTAAAGTTACCTTCATTTGATGTATCAGAATTTTTTGAAACAATTTATGGGATTAATGAAATAAAAGCATGAATGTAGCCTTACAACTGATATCATAGATAATACATAAAAATAATCATCGTTTAAAATTGAAATGTTGTCTCATTAGGTGCAACAATAACAAATTAACCGTGTTTGATAAAACTGCATCCAGGCGGTATTTAGTAAAAAAAAGGGAAAGGGGGCGTTGGGAATGATGTGGGGGGAATAGGACGAGCGCCCTGCCTCCCTATCCCAACCCCGATCCCTATTTCCGTCCTTATCCAGTAACCTATATATCTCCATATCTACCTTCCTGTGCGCTTCGCACAGGTAAAAGCATCAGGTTGTATCGATGTGCTCCCCCCACTGTAAAACCCCCACCAGTGGGCGCTTTGCTCGCTTTTGATGAAGGTGGGGGGAAAGGCGCATGCCCCCCATGAATACCTAGATATTGTCCTGCCGCGAACTCAACTCGCTCACGTCGCAGTCCGGGCTAAATAGCCATCGAGTGAACGGTTCCGACCAATTCTCCTTATATATCACTATCCTACGCACTGTCTTACAACTATCCGAACAAAACCAAGACATAATCGAAATATAATTAACACCTCTCTCCTGTGAATCTATCGAACTTAACTTAAAAAAAGAAAATATATAATTCCCGGTGATATTTTGAAAGAAATATTAAAAGAAAATAAAATATCCACTCGTGGTCGTAATATATCACAAAACGATTAAAGCATTAATAAAAAAATAAATATAATAAGAATAATCGTACGCAAAGAGAAGAGTTGAGAGACTGGAAGAGATCTTCCTTCATCGGGACTTACTGTCGTCTATTTGTGAACGCTTCGTCGCAGTTTCATCGTTTTCTATCTCTACTCTATTATTTAATAACAAAAAAGGGCCAAATTCGTCGTTGGTTAAAAGAAAAAAAGCAGGTAATCAAATCCTATTGATATTTCACACAACACAATCAAATCAAATCAATATTGGTCAAAAATACACAACAAAACGTACTTAAAGACAAACCAACGACACATTAGTACCGGAAAAACCAAATAATACATAAAAATATTTTCGAAAATTACGAGTACAAACAACATTTATTTTTTGTTTAATTTATCAATCGCGAGAACGGAAGCATGAGATTGTGAGTAGCGTATGAAAAATATAAAAATTACTTCGTGAATCAGTATTATTATTATTATTGCTGCTGTTGTAATTATTGCTATATATTATTTGTTTTGAAAAATCAATTTTGAAGAATTTTGATTTCATTTTGTAGTAGACGACAAAGACGGCGTTCCTATTAAGGACCGATCTCTGTCCAAGAATTTCCAAGACAATCAATCCAATCTACAGAAATACTTTTAAAAGAGTATATTCCGTAGATTTATAGAAAGTAAGTTTCAAAAAAACAACATTAATATATACTATTATAACTTATAAATTAAACGTGTATATTATAACTATTTACTTATAAGTGTTGTTGTGATAAATAAATAAATAAAAGAAAGAGTTAAATATAAAATTATTATCTAGATTATTGCATTTAGGGAAAAATTCGTTTTTAAAAGATCCTCTTGCTCTATCAAGCCTCATAAACAAACAGCATTGTTGTTTTCTTTTTGAAAAACAACATAACCGTCCTTGATAACAAGAAGAAAAGTAAATTTAACCAAAAATTAATTGTAGGTTAATTGATTAATATTAATTAGTTAATATCGGGATCAGTGCAATATTTGTATTTTAGAAACTAAATAACGTTGAAAGAGGCTTATAATAGCAATAAGATTCGATTCAAAATCAAGAACAATCGTTGTTTATTGTCGCAAATTAATTGATAAATATATATTGTTCGTATTAATATTAATAAAACTCGCAACAAGTCAATATTATCAAATAGCAAAAAAAATCTATGTATAGATATTAACTAAATTAAATAAAAAAAAAATAGTATTTTTGTGTGTACCTAATTAAGGTGACAATCAAAAAAATTGCTGTAATATTTGGAAAACTGAACAATCACTTTTCGACCTACAAGAATCAATTTAATCGATCAATTAAAAAATCATACAAGAAGCGGTTGTGCAAGTTCTGTTTTTTACAGTAATAATTCTATTAAATCAAACAAAACAAAAAAACAAGATACATATCTTAAAATATTTGTAAGGAATTAACTATTACATTATCAAACAAAGAATAATTGCTCAGTTTTGTTATAAATCTTCGTTAATTATTTAAATTAAATTGATTTAAAAAAAAAAAAAACAGGAAATAAATATAAAATCGCATTAGTATTAAGAGAAGAGATCTAGTTGGATAATATATTAAATAAATCTAAAATAATCAAAGACAATCGTGCAATATTTACAAATCAAACCAAAAATTAAGATCAATTATCGCGTGACAATCCAAAAAATATAATAATAAAATTCCAAAAAAAAAAAGAAGCGAATCGTACAATCAAAGAGACACTTATACAAATTGAGATAAAAATATAAACACATTACGACATATACGACCAAATCAAAAAAAAAAGAAAAACAAATCGAGAGGAATTAATTGATTTTAACCGGTGTTCCCCCCAGTAGCAATCACGACGTATTTTCTGAACGCACCCGCTCAAATCCCTTACGTAGTGCCCTTCTGCCCTTTGCCTTGTCCAACTGACCTTGTGCCGCCACCTATTTATCAGGCCGCAACCCCCGCTCCCTGTCCTTGCGTCCAATGCACTTCGCATATTTACAATAGTCACTTGGCCGCCCCAAATACGTTGATCGTCAATAGATTCACCGAAATCAATTACTTCGATCATCAGGTGAACGCTAACGCAACTACACCGGACAAATTGGTCGCTTACGATATGGTAAGTGATATTTATTAATTTGTTGTGAACAAAAATATTTTGTTTTCTTGAAAAGTTTATGGAATATTTATGTAGTATAAGTTATCAAATTTAAAATCTTCTTATAATGATGGAAATTACTTAAACATGTATCCACGTGATCAAAAAAAACAGTCAGTTTCAGGTTAATATAATATTAATTACTGAATCTCGACCAAGGCGCTACACTATAATGACCAGTTTCAGGTTGATATAATATTAATTGAGCCTTAGCCGCAAGAGATCTCGGTTCAGTGAAGATCTACAACTTCATTTGATAAAGCAGAGTCGTTTCCGGCCGAAGTGCCATAACATGATGACCAATTTGAGGTTGATATTTTATTAATAATTGAGCCTCGACTCAATGAAGATCTACAACTTCATTTGATAAAGCCATTATATGATGACCAGTTTCATGTTGATATAATATTAATCACTCGTTTTGTTCCTTTTTTGCTGCTTGAACATTTTCCAGATTGGTTTTATATGCTTCAAGCATGCTTGATCTTGCATTGCCATAATCATTATATCATGAAGTGCCATAATATGTTGACCAGTTTCAGGTTGATATAATATTAATTGAGCCTTGGCCACACGAGACCTCGGTTCAGTGAAGATCTACAACTTCATCACTCGTTAATCACTCAACTTAATCAATCAACTTAATCACTCGTTTTGTTCCTTTTTTGTTGCTCTGAACATTTTCCAGATATGCTTCGAGCATGCTTGATCTTGCATTGCCATAATCATCACATCATGAAGTGCCATAATATGTTAACCAGTTTCAGGTTGATATAATATTAATTGAGCCTTGGCCGCAAGAGATCTCGGTTCAGTGAAGATCTACGACTTCATTTGATAAAGCAGAGTCGTAGGCGGCCGAGGTGCCATAACATGATGACCAATTTGAGGTTGATATTTTATTAATCATTGAGCCTCGACTCAATGAAGATCTACAACTTCATTTGATAAAGCCATTATATGATGACCAGTTTTATGGCAATGTAGGATCAAGCATCGGTGCTTGATAATAATTATTATATCATGAAGTGCCATAATATGTTGACCAGTTTCAGGTTGATATAATATTAATTGTCAATTCACTCGTTTTGTTTCTTTTTTGTTGCTCTGCACATTGTCCAGACTGGTTTTATATGTTCCAAGCATCAATGCTCGATCTTAACCTACTTGATGATACTTAGCTTTATTCATTTGTAAATGTTCGTCATTTATTACCAACCTCAAAAATAAACGAAAAGAAACACATGGCATTGAGTGGTGCAAAGAAAGCTTTTTGAATTGATTAACAGGGTAACAAAGAGAAGAAGAAGTAGAGAGAAGATAACAGCTAAAATAATAAACAAGATATGTTTTAAAAAAAAATATGTTTAATGACGTGGCTAGCTCCTGAAGATGATTGAATGTAACAATCGAAACCGGTAGAGCCGACAATTAAAAAACCATCCATCTATAAATACACATAGTTTTATTTCAATTATATTAAAATTGAGATGGAAAGAAATAACCAAATAAACATTAATTTATTAAATAGACTTAGCTTCCTATTTAGGATGAAACTCGTTAATTATGTTGATAATAATTGTCATTAAATTCAATTTCGTTAATTAGAACATGAGTATATTCATTTGCATTTTGTAGTATTATGTATTATTTTTAAGCATAGATTGGTTATCTACCGCAAATATTGATCGAAATTGATATCCCATAACGAGATACTTTCGCTATATTTACACATATTCAATATCTTGTCAGCATCAAATCAGCCCGATATCTAATTAACCATAATGTCAATCGACTAAGCCAGATTGGAAATTGGAAATGTCAATTGCAGAGAGGTATTTAGGTTCTAAGCTACTACGATGAGTGAAATCTCCCATGCAAACCACGTATCAGTAACGCCTAAAACTTAATTTTAACACTATTTATTTCCTACTAGATTACATAAAAGTGATTAAAATGATCTGATTGGTTTAAAATGTTTAAAAAGAGAAAGCTTTCTTTTCGCGATATTTTAATTAGTTGTTTCAAGGTAAAATGTATCGTCCATATTGTAATTCGACACCAATCGACATTAGCGGCCCCAACTCCGGACCGGGAGACATTTATTGGCATCACTGAGGGATTATACGACATCGCGAAGACCGTGAGTATCGATTTCGCCGTCACCGCGGGATGTTTCAAACGATATTACCGATGAAAACTCCCGACGTGTTCTCTGACGTCGATGATCACGCTTCCAAGTAATTAAAAGTTTGAAGGTTTAACGCCGAAATCTAAAAAAGTAAAAAACTTTGATGAGAAACACTAAATTTTGATTAATACGATAAGTGACGTTCTAGATTTCTTAATGGGAAGACACGTTTTCAACGTTAACATTCTTATAATAATTGAAAACTTTATTTCTTTCATAAAAATTGTTATCGATGATGAATGATGATACCATCAGAATATCTATCTGAATCTAATATTTATCGATCGTTTACTTATTATTTTTTTTTTGTGGGAGTTCGTATAAGAATGTTATGATTTACGTGTAGCTGGTTCGCGATGCTAAAGCTAGGTAAATAGAGACTTATGACCTTTAGACTCCTGAGGGGTCATCGTCCTGAGTCATACGTAGCAGTTAGGGAACAGAATTGATGGTGAAATATGCACAAATCGGACGTATTCACGTTTTAGTACCGCGCGTAATGGTGAAACAACCGCGAGCACAGTAGATTCACAGTTATTCCCATTAATAGCGGTTATCGTTATTGGCAATAACCGTTTTTTATTATAATTTGCAATTAGCTAAAATGGTCTTTAATTAAAATTTTCCTTATCTGATAGAAATACGAAACGGAAGATGAATGAAGTTCGTTCTAGGTGTCATTGGTTTCTTAACATTGACCGCAAAATTTAATTGTTATTACCTTTCATTATTATTACCAGTAAAAAGAATGATTACTTTACAAGGGGCTCTAATTGTAAGAAGCATTTCAAATAAAACGAAACGAGCGGCCGAGTAATTAACTGGCGCTAACAAAATAAAGGGCTCCTTTTTACCGACCTTTTAATACGCCGAGTCTATAAACACTAAAGAAAAAACGTATTTCGTACAAAAGACTTTTGTTATCCTGTGTGAGTATTGATCTGGACTGACGTGGGCTAAAGTATCGTTAAGAAACCATTAGGAATGCATTTAGGATAATATCTATACTTGTAATAACAAGAATAAGGTAAGTCATAAAATAGTATGTTTAAAAAATATATATCGATTTCTAAACGTAATATACAACTTAATCGTTATGTACAGTTACGGAATTTATTTCTCTGTTATATTTCACGGAATTTCCAGAATACAATCATTTTACTGTTGATTGGTGATTTACCAATGTGGAAGAGGTGGTATTTTAGGGGCACATGGCCGGTTAGGTAGCCTGAGAGCGTTCTTAGATCCCCTTTGCTGAGGCATTAAACCTCTTTGGTTTTGTTTTGCGACGGAGTTATCATACTCTTCACTTGTTCCAGCGTAAGGCTATCTTTGAAGCCTCCCAGTTGTTGATTATTTGTTTTAGGTGGCTTTTTTGTAGTCCACATCCAGGTTGGGGTCCAATGAAGGGCGTGTTTGCTGCCTCTTTGGCCAGATTGTCGGCCTTCTCATTGCCCTCAATGTTGCTGTGACCTGGAACCCACCATAGGGTAACATCATTGCCCCTAGCGAGTTCTCTCAAGTTGTTGGTGCACTCTCTGATCAGTGCGGAGCCACACGTGTAGGCCTGAATTGCTTTTAAGGTCTGTGAAAATGTTTATGGATGCACCTTTTTGTCCCTTCTGTAGGTTCAAAGCGGTGCAGAAGTTTATAGCAAGAACTTCTGCTTTGAAAATTGTTAAGTCCGAGCTGAGGGGCAATTTGATGTGGCTATTTGGTCCACAGATGCCCATGCCTACTCCAGATCTTACTGTCTTTGAAGCATCGGTGTACCAGGCTAGGGCTCCTCTTTTTAGTTGAGGCCCTCCTTTCGCCCAATCATCCCTGCTACTAAATATGACCTTATACGGTTGGTTAAAATTGTATTCCGTCGGTATAAGGTCCGTTTTAATTTCAATCAGGTGATTTAGACATGGGTCTTTGAGGATCTCGAGGTGTCCTCTGAGGTTACCCTGCATCAACTTGAGTGAAGAAACTGTTTTCAGTGATAAGGCACTTAAGGCTGCCTCCTTTTGTATATATATGTGGAGCGGTGTGAGACCGAGTAGGGCTTCCAAAGCAGCCGTCGGACAGGATCTCATTGCACCCGTTATGTTAAGACATGCTAACCGCTGGATTTGTGCCAGCTGTTGTTGAGCTGTCTTATGTTTTGTTTTTGGCCACCAAACCAATGAGGCGTAGGCGACCATGGGTCTGATTATTGCTACGTAGGCCCAATGAGCCATTCGTGGTTTGAGACCCCAGTTCCTTCCTAGGAGCCTGCGGCAGATCTGGTTTGCCATGATGGCCTTTTTCCTCACCTTATCTAAGTGTGAGTTCCAGTTTAGTTTACTGTCAAGTATTACCCCTAGGTATTTAGTTTCTGTTTTGAGGTTAATAGTTCTGCTTTCAATGGAGGGTGCTTTTATTTGTAGCTTCCTTCTCCGAGTGAAAGGGACTATTTCGATTTTATTGGGATTGATGCTGAGCCCATTGCTTCTGCACCAAGTACTGGTGAGTAGTAGGGCTTTCTGCATTAGCTGAGTTATGATTGAATCATATTTACCTCGGATTGTGATTACCAGGTCATCAGCATACCCTTGTATCTTAAATCCGTTTTTAGTTAGGATGTTCATCAAGTCATCAACTACCAGGCACCATAATAGAGGTGATAGCACTCCCCCTTGGGGACATCCTCTTAGCGCCTTTATAGTCAGCGACTCGCCTCCCAGACTGGCTGTGATCTGCCGACTTTTCAACATGGCTATACACCACTTGATTGTCGACGGAT